TTGTTGGGCTTAGTAGCATCAGGCGAATGGTCAATTAACGCTAATATCATTCGATTTAACGATAATTTCTCTTTTAGGTTCGCGTCGATTTAACGATGGTAAGGGTGGAGAAAAATCTGGGTTTTCCCCGATAAACCCCTGCAAAAGGAGCATTTAACGCGACGCGTAGTTCAAACAAGTCGTAACGAGACCATTTATGCGTAAGTTAAATTACGGGGTTGGCGTATTTGCTCCGCTCAAAGTAACTTTATAACATTTACGTAATGCGAGCAAATTCATTTTTTATTGGATCGATCCGGAGTTTTTTTTGTCGAGTGTGGAAGGGCGTTATTTGCGCTGGCTGCAACTTCATCATTAAATTGGAGCGGATAAATAACTGTCAGGGAGTAGCTTGGGGCCCGAATAGGCAGGACATATAACAAGCCTCTGATATCGACAGAATCACAAACGCCAGTTATGGGACCCAGCACCCGGATCAATACTCATTGTGAAGTTCACTTAAACGCATTGTTAATTGCTGGGCCGCGTGTATACTCGTAGATTTGCCGGACCTGTCAGAGTCACGTTCGAGTTTCGCCTGTTTCATTCGTTTCGGCTTTTTCGTTTCGATTTTTCGCTTCGAATCTACAAAACGAAACATTCACCTTAAAATCCGACGAAAATCCGCGCTCCCGGATAATTATAACTCCGTTGACCGAAATTTTTTTAAACTCGAAAATTAAAATTACGCGATCGCCACAGCATCTACATCCAAAAATACGACGCTCCTCCCCTAACTCTTAATTAAGAAATATTTACGAGAGTTAAATAGGACCCGACGAGGGCACGAGACAAAGTGGGGCCAACGAAAACAGAACGGAATATATGGATTTCGCGTTCGGACAGGAAACGCCTAATTATATTTGACGGAAGAAACCCGAACGATCCCTACTCTCAAAGAGAAAGAAGCCTTAAGTCGAGAAAGATAAAATAAATAAAAAATATATCCCCTTTAAAGATGTATTTGTACATCTTTTAAAAAAATCGTTTATATTTTGTAAAATAATAGTTCATTAATGTATTAATTTATACGAGGAAGGATTGATGAAAAGAGAGTAGAAGTGGCGTTTAGCGTTTAAGATGTTTTTAATTGGTGTTACGGGTGGAGAAAAGCGAGTAAACCGTCGTAAACGATGAGACGGTAGCGAAGGCAAAAGCGGCTCGTTACGAACGAAAGTTGCGGCCTCTCGCGGCAAACAATTCGGTATCGCTAATCGACAAAGAGCTCGCCTGTTTATGGATCACGGCTGCTTTCACCCCAGCAGGGATATACCACTCAATTACTGGCGTGTTTATCGAGCAAAGTCGGGCGTATCCCGCCCCTCCTGCACGCCGTCCCGCGTGCCACCCCCGCTCTGGATGCCCCCTTTAACCCTCGACTCCCCGGCATCCCTCGACTGGGGACCCTGCTCATCACCGGAGCAAGCCTTCTCTACTAATGACCGCCATTTACATCTAATAACATCGTGCCATGCCACTTATGTAAATAACGTAGCGGTTGCCGCCACTTTAAAAACAACGGAAACCGAGAGAGTGAGCACTATGAGAAACGTTTGTCGCATTTCGAACATGATTTCCCCTAAAACGTTAAAACGTCGCGCCCCTTCTTGATAATTTCGAATCGTTCAAATCAAATCGCTCTTTGCCAATTTAACTTCGTTCGGGATAAAAATTGAAGGTGGCAGGACCTGTCGTCGCTATGGCAACGCTAAGCGGCGCGCCACCGGTGCTCGTGCTGCCGCCGTCGCCCCATTAATGTCAAAATTATATCGCACTTATTCCTACTAAATTTCTGCCGATTTCGGCAAATAAAAGCGCCTCTCTCCCGTTCCCAATTAAAGCCTCCCGTTGCCGCGTTATTGTTCGCGAACAATAAAGTACAGAGGAGGGCGAAGACCCCTATTTCTTCACCCACCCCCAACATCCCTTTCTCATCCTTCGTACCGTAATTTATTCACTCCGATGAGGAGGGCATTAAGACGATCATAATGTGAACCGGAATAATTAGATAAATATCTCCATTAATTGAAATGAAAATTACCTCAATAATAATATACTCAAAATAACAATATTTCAATTACATGTTTCTGTTTAACAGGACTATCTTCAGGGAGATCAAAAAATTTAATCAACTATAATAAAGTATGTTGCATTGAATTGTATATTCGCGTAGTTGCAAAGGAAAATTCCCAAACAGCAATTAATCCCAAACCCAAATACTAATAGTTCGTAATTAGCAACATGTACCAGAAGCATTTATTTGCAAACAGGCTACCTAATTAGAACACGACAGTGCTTATTATCGCTGCAATAAGTCAGTGCTTAATTACCAGTTATTGGAACATGTCAGCTTCGTGCGATAGAGGAACCTCTAATGGAGCAGTGCTTTACGAAGTAAGCGGCAGCTCGGTTACGGAGGGTCGCTGGTATTTACGAGTAGTTCATGCGTCTTGGTCGAACGTAAAGCGGCCCCTGCAATTAAATCCCAATGCGCGTTATTGATTCACCGTCGACGAACGAATTGAAAGTTGTTCATACCGCTTCCGCTTTCAGTTCCGGAAACGGATTGCGGCGTTCCGTTATTGCGGCATTTCGTCCAGGATTAACCGGCAAGTCCTCAGAGCTGTGTGTTAATTAATACACGGCACGCCGTCAGCTGCCGACCTGCACGTTCTCTTGACTCCCTCTCTCTCTCTCTCACTCTTTCCATACCAACAAAGCCCCATACACGACTCTTAAGAGATGTTGTTCACGTATCATGTTCGTTGCTGACGGGACAATGTTTACGGTACGTACATATATGTATGTGTTTGGACGTTGAATACCTTTTATTCACTTTAAATAATTGCTATTATTAACACTTCGTATAATATTACATTAATGTGTTCATAATTATTATTAAGCTTTACTTTATTGTGTAACTTAAACCTTCAAACTTTCTCAATACAATTGCTATACATTTTTATAGAACTAAAAGTAGAATTAACACTAAGAGTTAGAACTAGAAACATTCGAGTTTAGCCGTACGTCTCTTAAGATGGCTAAACCCGAATGTTGGCTTTTTGATGGAAAAAATAAAGTTATATGACTAAAATGGGTTTAGATTGGGGGTGAATGCGTTGAGCTTTAGGATGATCTGGGTAGAAATTGGTAGGGGAAATAATTTTGGCCCTTATGGGAGAAGTGCGGGAAGGTAAAAGTGGCAAGCGTTCATTATATGTATAAAGAGGCGCGGTATTATCGTACGTTCGGGAGGACGGAAAATTTTTAGGTTAGCTGTTGCCTAGTAACATACGATAGGGGTTGGTTGCCCTTAAGACAAAACCGTTTTAAGGGAATTATATTTTCAATGGGCTCTACCCGATTGCAACGGATGCCTACAAATTGCTTCCCTTCGATTTATTTCCCTATCGAGCGATAAATTCGCGTCGGTACCGTTTACGCGGTCTGCAAGTTTTGGTTGATTTTTTTTGGGTACTTTTAAAATTGTGGCAAATATATTTTTGGGGAAGAAACAAAGTGCGATATCAAGAAAGTGAATAAAAATAATCAATAGGAGAACGGAGTCGTCGGTAATTTATCATCCCCTTTTATGAAAAGGGAAATTCCAAGAGCGTCTTTGCCTGTTCGGGAGGCGCGCGCTGCGAAATCCTTCGGCAATTTAATTAAATGGCCGCCCCGCCGTGTTAAACACGATCCGCTCCATTTAAATGGCGTATCGCAGTGCAGTAAGTGGTCTGTTAGTATTGTGTCAACGCAGTTACTCGTTTGCCCGCTAGAGAGCACGATTTATCGCTCAATAAATTACATCTATCCTCCTTGTCTGGCACACGCGTCGCGGCGCTCTGGGCGTCGTCTCACATACAAATCATCGTTTCGCTATCCGCTCAACAACTGTGCAACATTGTCGCCGACTTCTCTACCGTAATTATCCGCTGGATTGATGACCGTTTATAACCGCGCAACCGTTTTATACTCAAACGCGTGCGATTACAGGAAATTATTATTACTTTATCCATTTCCTTACGCCTAATAACAACATTTACACTATCATCAAAATATTTACTTCAAACAGAATTTGTGTTCATATTTATTATTAAATAAAACGGTTCATAAAGCCTCATTACTTTATGAGCCGACTGTACATTTATATTTTATACATCAAGTTAAACGAATATATCGACCACCAAAAATGATTTTACCTATAACAAGGAAAAGAGATGTAGAGATACGGTAAAAGAGTAATAAAGCGTGATATAAATACAATGGAGAGGGCGATTATTGTTGGTAGTAAAATCGAAGCAAGTTAGTGGAATGATGAAGCAATTCCAGGCAAGCATCCGACGAGCATATATATCCGTTGAACGAGCCGCTAATCGAGCTAAAACGGCGCTCTAGTGGCCATTTCCAGTTGAAACGCTAATCGATGTGTTCGCTAATACATCACAATCCCTCCCCTTAAACGGGGAGCGGGGGCCACGGGGTCGGGATGTTAGGGCAGCGGGCCGGGGGACGTGGGGAACGCGGCTCAGCCGCTCGCTTCTGGGGAGGGCGACGTGCTGCGAGGGGGGCACGAGCCGAGCGTGCAGCGCCCCCTCCCCCCGATAAACCGAATTGAAATACCAATACGTTGATAGCCGACGCATCGCTACGTAATAATTATCCGCTTGCGTTCGGACAGTTTAAACATTTATTTTTTATTACTCCAATTTAAATTTAATTCGCCCGTTTTTGTCGGCCCTCCAATCGTACCGTTTCAATTATTTAATACGCGTGTGATTTACTCACGATTATTCCCGAATTATTCGCACGCGAAACCTATATAGCTTTTACAAATGGATATACTATTTATTATTTTTGAAATTTATTTTTACCCTTTCACTAATTCTAACCGGTAACATATTTTTATATCAACATTTTTTTTAAATAATTTCAAGATTATTAATAATCATTTTTTGTAGGTAAAAATATGGTTTCAAAATCGACGAACAAAATGGAAGAAAATAGATAATATTTCGAATGCTGAAGCGGCAGAGCACAAGAACCACGGTCCGAAGGATGCGAAAGAGGAGTTACCGCCGTCGAAGCTTCGAAACTATCCAAAGCACATAAGCCAAAGTTCAAATTCGAGCATAGAAAGCGACTCAAAGAGCATAGCGTCGATAGCGGCCGACTCTTCGGTCGGTGTAAAGAGTTTCAAAGACATTCTGCAACAATCCGACCACTTGCCTCTTTCGCCGGACTCGCATTTCCGGGAGCAGATGGACACGGCCAAAGATGTCTTGCTAAACCTCTCCTTCAATGTTCAAGAGAATTCATAATGTGTTAATTGTATAGGTTTCTTCGTGCATAGACTTTTAAATGTAAGGTATGAGTAATAATTAATTACGTGGATTCTTCAGAGAGTAAAGAGATTGGTCGCGGAAAAAATACACAGAGAGTACAATTAATTAGTTGCACATATATTAGAAAGATATTTTTAATATAAACTTATTTTCATCGGCATTCAGACTGTTTTATATGTAAAGAAAGACCGCCGATTGCGGGCAAACCTTTGTAATGAAAAATCAATTACTCGTCAGTAAATAAATCGTTTCAATTATATGTAATTGTATTATATATTAATTTTTTTCGTTATTTATTACGTTTTATTGTCTTATTTTAATTACATCATTTTTTTATTAACCCTAATCGTATTTGCGATTATTTCCCAAAACATATCCCGTTTCATATAATTTCATATTTTATTTGCATATTCAATTAATACGTTGATATATTACAACAAAAGTTTATTCCTGAATAATTATCCATTTCCAAAACACGAATTTATATTCCTTTCACAATTAATATTAAACGTTTCTAGGTTTATAAATAATCATTGCGTTTTAAATTAATTATTATTTGTATATAATTATATTAAATGATATTCAAAAATAAATCAAATACAGATCGCTATATCTATCAATATTTTAGTAATTAAATAAATTTCTACGTTTGAATTGAGATGGCGCTCCTTGTTAAAATTATTTTTATCTTATCTCTTAAATCACGAAATTTTTTTGATAACAAATACGCCTTAACAAACAGCATTGTTTTATTACAAATAATATCGAAAAATGAATTTATTGAATTAAGAATATTCTAAAATTATTGTTCTTAAACTATGAACATTTAGTGCCACCTCTTAGACGTTGACTAAACTAATTCAGTTCCACATTGTAGAGAGTGTGAAATTTAGTGCGAGGACCATATTGATCGGATATAGCGAACATTTTTATCATCTTGTCCAAAAATCAGCTGGCGTTCGATGATAATCGGCGATTAATAGTGCGTGGACTAGAATTAAAAACGCTCGAAATGACATAATTGTATGCGGTTTCTTCGAAACGCCGAGCACACTGCGGCTCGGCATCGAGTTTACATAACCTGGTTGCGAAATTTACTCTGTGATATATCCGTGCCTAACAACTTCAAATACTAATCGGAATATTGGAATTTATAACGTGATATATTCAATTGGTAAGATTAAAATAAAATTTATAATAAATTTTTTTAGTATTTCAGAATTTTTAATATATTAATATAGATGTCGTTAAAGTGATGCAATCGATGGTCATTTGTTTCGTTTTTTACGTAACCCAAAAATGTTTTCTTTTATTTAAATGATATGATAATTTAAACGATACACTTTCACTCGCGAGTCGTTTCGCAAAACCAAATCAACTATTATTTAATTGATGTTTAAGCAGTGGAGTAACTCCTTACTAAGTGACATCTATATATATTTCATATATTCTATAACTTAAATATTTAAATTTCCTAAAAGTGTTTATTTTAAGCGTTCTTATCTCCACAAGAAATTGCGGTAAAGTTTCTCGTTAATTATTGAAACAAATTTTGTCGAAAATTTCAAAAAATTTTTTATTTATTTTGTAGCTCTTCATCGTTAAACTGTAAAAATTAAGGGAGCTTGTGGTTTTTAAAAACAGTTTTCATGATGATGTCCAAAAAGTAATAAAAAACCAATAAATAGCTAATTGATTCAGCGATTATCTTATCAGAGGATTTAGCAATTACACATCAGGAAATAAATGATGCTGTTAATTCAATTCAAATTACTCATACATGTATTAAAAGAGCTATATCAAGATAATGTGATTAAATGTCCTCAAAGAAGCAAAGTTTCAAAGCTCACACCTCATTTATTCCTTTTTCGGCTTCTTATTTGCTTCAAGCACTCCTACCCATCCTGGTTAGATAGTTGCTATATATACCATTCACTTCCATCACAGCTTTTGTTGCAGTTAAATCACGTCGAATTAAATAGGTGACTTTAAAAATGTATATAAAATAGAAACTTTAAATTTGGTCGATACATTTTTGACCATTTTGGAGAAAAGAATTTTTTTCATTAATTACACATCTTATTAAACCAGCGATATTTAAAAATATCCTTATATAAATCGAATTGTTTACAATGGAAACATAAATTATTCATTCAAATTGTTTTGGAGAAAACATTTTCTATCTTTAATCTTATTTTCAACAAACCTCACATTAAAATCGGCGATTTTAAAGTAGCAGCGTAACCCCATTTTTTTTAAATGTATCAACAACTGCCGTGATGTAAATAAGTTGTCGAAATATATCCCAAGCAGTGATAGTTTTATGAATCAAGGTCATCTGTTACTGAAACCTTTCCAAATCTCTTTTGATACCCCGAAAATCAACACATTTATCAAATATGCAATCATATAAGAGATTTCAGTACCTACTCGCCGCTAGATGGTGGTAATCTGGTATTAAAAACAGTTAATGAATGTATTATTTCGTGAAAAAACAATTGCTTTAAATTAGCAATAAAATTTAATATGTCCTACGTAGTGGGGTTTCTGGTGTTCTTGGAATACGAGCAACAAATAGCCGGACGTTGTAGAGGGCACGTGTTGTGACCTGTTTGCTTTCGTTTGAATTCGCGGAGAGACGCTTTCAAGCTAAATTCTAAATAGTTATGCGTCTGGCGTTTGTGGAAATCCCCTTCAGAAACAAATTTACCAAATGAACCACTCGTCTAAATTTAAACTATGAGTATGATCCAACTTGAGTTTTGTTTAAATTTTCTAATATCGTCTTATCGATTCATCTAATAATAAGTTGAATACATTATTACGTATATATTGTGTGTTAAGTATGAATTAGATACTCATTCAGACTCATGATTTATAATTACTAATTTATATATAAAACTGAAAGTGTTTATTTGTAAACAATTGCGGTGATAAACCGCAGATGAATATCGTCTTGCACAAAATAAAAAGACGATTGAAAGAAATATATTAAATAATAGTTCTTTAATTAAAATTGACGCATACTGTGTTTAAAAGGGGGATGTTTATAATTATGTCCGCAAAGCGACAGAGTGGCGCTTCGCGTAAATGCAACAACGAAAACCATTCCTCAGCTTTCAGTTCAGTCGTTATTGTACCTCGGTGTAGTTCGCGTCTTTAACACTTGCGCGAACGCAGCGTTTGTGGTAACTTCACGTCTTTTGCTCTTCTCCAACAGTAAGTAATTAATTTTAGTTTTTTATCAATTCAATATTTTTTGTTTCTTATTGTTTATTTAAAATGTTTCGGTTATAAATTTTGAATTGGAATTTAGATAATCGGGTCAAAATTTGTATTTTTTATGTAATCTCTTCGAACGTTTAAGGATCGCGTAGAAAGTTATATAGTGTGGCCTGCGCATCTTATATAAGTCAAATAGATAGGGTTGTTTTTTGGTCAAGGTCAATTAATTAATCTTCTTTTTATCACTGAAAATTTGAGATTACTTCACTTCGTCTACTAATTATGAGTGGTAGGTAAAAGTTGAAGGCCTTTTTTTGTTGTTTTTAAAACTTTAACTTTCTGTTTCTTTATTTTTCTTTTCTTCTCGGTCACGTTTTCAACATCTGTTGGTGATAAACTTTAAAGTTGTACCTGATAGTTTAACGAAAAAAGAAAATATATATATGGGCAGTAATTTATGGAGTAGGAAGAACTGAATTGTCTTTTTGATTCATGGTTCATAAATCATTCATGCGACGTCGCGACGACGACAAAACTTTGTAACCAAACGTATCTAAGGGTTAAATTTTAATTGTTTTGCGTCAACTCGATTGTTACAGAAAATTTTACGCAATTATATCTTTCAATTTTATTCCTATAATGTGATGAAAAATTAATTAGGGGGTTGAAACTTAACTAAACCAATATTTAACCTCGATTTTTTTTTATCAAACAATTAAGTCATTTTCTTATCTACATTATTTTTTATATAATCATTGTTTGATTTCAACACTTGTCATTTTTTAAATATTTACAGGAAAGGAAATTCCAAGAACTCTTACTCATAATTTTCTTGCCCACATCAAATATTAAGGAATTTGTTTTAATTCTTATCGATTCTTTAATTAGATTTATAATTTTTTTTATAAATTATATTTTGTTATTTTGCTACGAGGTAATTTTTGATCAAAGTTTCCTTCCTCTAGCCTTTGATGAGCTAACATCTAACCAGAAGGAAGTGGCTTTGCCGTATCCTGACAGGAGCCCTTAGAAGGTGCTAGCATCTGGCCCGGGATGAACCATGGTTTTTCGATACTTTACTCCTTTTCAACCTGGCTTCTCAGGAAGTTATGCTCACAAAGTTCCAAAGTTCATCCGCTCACAAAGTTTTAACGCTTCTGTGCGCTTTCGCGCACCATTTCATTTTAATCAAAGTAACTCAGGGATTTGAGGTACACAAACATTCAGAATCTAAACCACAAAATCTTTAAATTGGCGTTGGAAAAAATGTTTAGATCAAAAACTGTATGAAATTTGACACAACACTTAATTGATTAATTCCAGGTGTGAACAATGATGAATTTGCAAAAAAAGTAACTTCAAATCGCGATTTAGTTCGCGATCGTTAAAACATAAGCATTTACATAGTATTCAATTTGCACTAACTTTATTCCAATTAAAGCGTTATTTGTTGTTAGTTTTTTGCAACATCGTATTTAATTTAAGAGGTGAAAATGATTTTTTTTTTGACATAATTTTAAATGAATAAAAATATCTTAAATCCTCTAAGAATCATTTAAAATCGTTCCAGAAATCGATGATTGTTTAGAATCCATTCATACCGATTTTCGATTCTAAATTAAACAAATGTTTAGACTAAACAAAAAGAAAGACTGATGAAAAGGATGTTTGTAAATTCATCGATAAGATAAAAGAAAACTAAAAAAATATTTAAAAATAAATATCAGGTTTTAGATGATTTGAAACTCTTCAATTTCTTGTGTTTAATATTAAATATGAACCGAAAATAATATTTGTAATTCAAAATTTCTTATATAACAAATTTAAATTTTAAAAATGGTATTTCTCGATTTTCTTATAAATATTAATCACCCAGATTTGCGAAGTAAGAGAAAATATCTTAAAGGCATAAAATTTAATTAGGATATTTTAAGAATTATGTAATATAGGAAGTCAGAAATGAGTATATCACCGCAATGTATAGTTTAATTAACTCTAAAGAACAATATAACTAGAAAGAGTTAGATTGGTGTTTCATCTCTTTCTCTAGAACTTGCAATTAAATATAAAAGGACATACGCTGCGTTTTAAAAGCAATTAAAGAAAAAAAATTACAAAGCACTTTCAAAATCGTAAAAGTTTTACAACTTCAATAACGAACGAGTCAGTAAGTTTTAAAAAAAGCTTTTTTGTTCGTAGACAAATTTAAAGAATAAATAAATTTTATTGAGTCTATTGACAGAGTTACTGAATGTGTTGTTTTATTTATTTTGTGTAATGGGGCTCGAAATTCCGAAGGTTTGTGAGACGCAACTCTGGTCCAGAGAGACGAAATAGAGCCAAGGTTGGCTGCTTTCTCTTAAAGAGTGCGCTAACCCCTAAAAAAAAGAAGTACGTCTCTGGAGGCGTCCAAAGAGGTGTCCAAACCATTGAAGAGGTGAAACAACGCACCGAGTATTTTCTTTTACGAAAAAACTAATAATCTCTATATTTAGATGCGGGCCATTAAATCTCTTCCTTGTAATTCCATTCTGCGCTCCGTCGAGCGCTCGAAGAGCATCTTAATTTTGTATTACAAGGTCCTTTTGCATCGTTGTGCAATTGACAACATTTAACATGTCTCAACCAAGGATCTTATCGGCAGTTTTTTATTTTAACACATTTTTCGTTTCAAAATTTATAGGTAATCGTTTAAAATTAATAATGTTAATTTATTTCAATTCGAAAGTAGATTAGGAACAAATAAACACATTTGTTCCCATTAATATAATTTACGTCAACGTAACAAATACCTTATCATTATAAAATGGAATTCAAATTACAACTATGATTTTATATATATATATATATATATATATATATATATACCTTAATACATTATATATTGTTATAAAAAATATAACTTAATTTCTTCCTATTTATTCTACCGATAATGTGCATAAACAAATAAATGATTGTGTTGGTTGTTAGACTAAACTATTGAAAATCTGCTATAAGCCAAGGTGCAGCCTCGGGCGCAACAATTACAATTACAATATTATAAATATCTACAGTGACTGATATACCAAGGCGTTGAAATTATATATATGAACGGATTGAATCAATATTGACTTTATTAAATAATTTACAAATTTTTTTCTTTTTAATTTTCAGTAACAAAATAATGACGAGCACATTTTTCCGAAAACATGGTGAATTTTGCGCTACCCACCCCTGGGAGGTAATAGTTGCAATATTTACATTAACAGCATGTATGTTGACAATGGATAAAGGTCAGTGGCCAAAGCCGGTACGAACATGTCCGGGATGTCCAAATGATGTAAGTTAAAAAATAACTTAAAAAAATTTTTTTCTTTAAATTTATTTTTTAGGGTGAATATAATCCAGCTGATGTGATCTTGATGACGGCCATACGTTGCTTAGCAGTACTTTATGCTTATTATCAGCTGCGGCATCTAAATACACTCGGATCCAAGTGCATCTTAGGTAGGTTTTTCCGATCCGTTCCGTCTGGTGCTTCAACAGCGAAAGCGACAAAGTGAAAACGTTCAAGGTTTGGCGGAGAAAGTGACGACGACGCCGCATAACCGTGAACTTATTTGCGGGACCCCCTTTTCGTCGCTGCTTCTTAACTTATATAATTGCGGGTTTCACCGAGACTAACTGACGCAACGACTGTTCTTTTCTACATTTTTAACCATTTTTACTAATATTTACTCCATTTTTACTCTTCTTTTTCAGGCATAGCTGGAGTTTTTACCGTATTTTCCAGCTTCGTTTTTATCTCGACCGTTATCAATTTTCTTCGAAATGATGTTAATGATTTAAAGTACGATATTTTCTAATGTTTATAACAAGAATTAATAATAATTATTTTTAGGGATGCTTTATTTTTCTTTTTACTACTTATCGATTTATCCAAAGCCGCTTTATTGGCGGAATTTGCTTTATCGGCTGCCAATCAAGAGGAAGTTAAAAATAATATAGCTACGGGGATGTCTGTATTAGGACCTACAATTACGTTAGATACAATTGTGGTGACGCTTGTTATTGGAGTTGGCACTTTATCTGGTAAGTAACGATTTTTTTTAAATCCGTCTGGTATTAATCAATGAGGTAGATTTAATTTTTAAGATCTGGCGTATATTAAGAGGTTTTTTTTTAAAACAAGGTCTAAAAATAAAGATTTCTGGTTGAGTCTTGAGACGGTTTACGTTCCAAGAATGATATTTAAAATTTTAATGATTTTCCTTTTAACCAAAAAGAAAAATAATAAATAAATAGATTGATTAAAAATGTTTAAACGGTTTGAAAATCTAAATGTTTTGGAAAGTAATTAACGAGGCGAGACAAAATCCGAGGAATTTCTAAAAAAAGTTAAATTTAGAATCGAATCGATTATTTAAGTTTCTCGTTCATTGCTAAGGTTGCGTTTGAAGTTTTTTCGGTATAAATATTCATGATATATAAATATTCTTGAACCACCTTGAGATTATACAATTGTTAACACGTCTGTAACACGTTACTTCATTACTTTCATCGGGATTTTCTCTATTCACTTTCACTATCTCCGGTTGAAGAATTGAAATGTAAAGAAAAAAAATTATATCGGACTCGCGCTCGACTCTTCTCGTGTAGGTCAATAACATCTAAATTGTCATGGATTTATTAGAGGCACTATGCGCTGCCGGATATTTCGGGATCTAACAGGAAGCCCTCAACGGAGATGGGCAGCATCTGATGGCCCCTTGTTTTATTTTTTCTTTTTCGCGAAATTACTTCGTTTACCCGACAAACGCTATTTTAACATTTGTTTGCGTTCCAGGAATTTATCCCGTTCTGTTTAGCAAACACGTTGCGCGATTCCAACACGTAAATCCTTTTCTCGCTAAATTATTTTAAAACATACACCCTAACATTTACGTTTATTTGCACTACTTCAAAGTTATAACGATATTTTGTGTTCATCCGACGCCATAATATTTGCATACGCTCTCTTAAAATTTACGATTATTTTTGTTTATATTTCATTTTTAAGGAAATGCATAATACTCTATGTGTTCGTTACATCTGAAGGTTACTTACCTGAGTATTTACTTGTTTACGCAGTGAATAATTGAAGAAAAGATTTTTTTTTGTATGGTTAAAAACATGAATGCTTACTTTCACGAAGATCTTTCAATGCCAAGTAAAAGCAAACGTCTTCTCTTCTTATTCAGAGATAATTACTTCTGAAAATCTTCTTTTATACTAATAGAAACTTTTAAATCATCTAAATTTATTATTTTGTTTTGTTAGTTTGAGTTTAGATTCTATATATAAAAATATTGCTCCCTAAGGTGGTTAGTTCGTCGAAGATCGCTCTCAACTAATGGGTTTTATGAGTACTTCAAAGATTACTTGGGGTAAAAATATAACGAAAAAATTTTTTTTGTTATATTTGCTTTAATTTTATTTCTCTCATCTTGTAGCAAAAAGATTCTATTTTAAAATAATATTAACATATATAATTTTTTTAGGTGCTCATCGTTGGGAAGTTCTTTCGTACTTCGCATGTCTTTCAGTAATAGTGAACTACATAGTTTTTATGACTTTTTACCCAGCGTGTTTATCATTAATCTCAGAGGTAAATAAAAATTAATATTGTAATAATATTTTTATACAACAAAAAAATGTATTTTCAGTTATCAAATCTTCGTATAAATTACCGCTCGATAATTTCTTTAGCGTTAAAAGCTGAAGATCACAAATCAAATCCGGTTGTTCAGCGGGTTAAAATCATAATGTCCGTGGGTTTGATGTGCGTACACGTTCATAGGTAAGTTACTCATTGACAAAAATGTAAATTCGAAAAAAAGCTGAAAGCGGAAGGTTTGAACCCCGACCTTAGCTTATCTCGATTTATTTTTAAAACCATTTTCTTTTTCTTCTCTATTATTACGATGGTTTATTTACAGCCGGTTACCGTTTCGGGAGGATTTACTCGGTGGCAACAATCCGAGGGCCGTTGAGCATTTTGTGTCAAATAACACGGAAGATACAGCGTTACATAGCTATATTATGAAGTAAGTCAAAAAATATATATATACAAATAAAAATGTATTAAAACAATTTTAGATGGTTGACTTTAAGTGCTGACCACATCGTGATATTAATTTTATTACTCGCTTTGGTGGTTAAGTTCATCTTTTTTGAAAACGAAGAGGAATTCCAACAAATTCGTAGCCAATTATCGCAATCTGGTGAACAATTTTTGTTGAATCAAAAAAAGACTGCTCGTGAAGAACGCACATCCATTTTAAGAAATCGATTTAAATCAGGGATGCCATTTTTTATCAGCGATGACTCTACAAGTAAGTAAAATTTTCTTCTTTATTAATATTTTTCTTTATTATGTTTTTTTAATTAACATTTCAGCAACAGAAGATAGAGAAGTTCAAACTGAATTTCCGTACATCGACTCAAGCGATGTAGAAGTGAAACCTTCAAAACCGAAGGATCCGCGTCCGTTAGATGAATGTTTAACAATATATAAATCGGAGTGGGGTGCATCAACTTTATCAGATGAGGAAGTAATTCGATTGGTAAAAAATAAAACGATAGCACCTTACCAGTTAGAAAAGGCCGTAAATAACCCAGAACGCGGTGTTGGCATTCGAAGAAAAATTTTTGGTGAAAACGGAAAATTCGACGAAGCTTTAATTAATCTCCCCTACAAAGATTACGATTATAGCAAAGTTATGGGGGCTTGTTGTGAAAATGTAATCGGTTATCTTCCAGTGCCAATCGGTATAGTAGGGCCATTAAAATTGGATGGAAAATTAATGTATGTGCCAATGGCTACTACCGAAGGGTGTTTAGTAGCTAGTACTAATCGTGGGTGTCGCGCGTTGATACAAAACGGCGTAACCAGTCGTATTGTTAAAGATGGAATGACGAGAGCTCCAGTTGTTCGATTCCCTACACTTGCTCAAGCTAGCGAAGCTATGGCTTGGATGGAGAACCCTGATAACTTTACGAAAATCAAAGAACATTTTGACTCAAGTAGTCGTTACGCAAGACTCACTCGATTACATATCAACATCGCGGGCAGACAACTTTTTATACGATTTGAAGCGAAAACTGGCGACGCAATGGGTATGAATATGGTCTCAAAAGGAACAGAACAAAGTTTAAGATTCGTACAAAATTCATATCCGGAAATGGAAATTTTAAGTTTGAGTGGAAATTTTTGTACTGACAAAAAACCTGCTGCTGTTAATTGGTAAGTTAAAAAAATTAATATAAATTTAAAAATAACAGAAAAAATTGTTTAGGATTGAAGGCCGTGGAAAATCGGTTGTATGCGAAGCGATAGTTCCAGCAGCAGTAATATCAACGGTATTAAAAACATCGGTAAAAACTTTAGTTGATGTAAACATATCAAAAAATATGGTGGGTTCTGCTATGGCTGGGAGTATAGGAGGGTTTAATGCCCATTCTGCGAATGTTGTAACGGCAATATATATAGCGACGGGTCAAGATCCAGCTCAAAATGTCGGAAGTAGTAATTGTATAACTTTGATGGAGCCTTGCGGAGAAACCGGGGAAGATTTGTATATTTCGTGTACGATGCCGTCGATTGAAATTGGAACGGTTGGTGGAGGAACAATTTTGGCTCCGCAAGCTGCTTGTTTGGATATATTGAATGTGAAAGGTGCGAACATAGCAAATCCTGGAGAAAATGCCAAACAATTGGCGAGGATTGTTTGCGCAACGGTTTTAGCCGGCGAATTATCTTTAATGTCCGCTTTAGCTGCTGGTCATTTGGTTAAAAGTCATTTAAAGCACAATAGATCGTCGACAACGATGAGTGGAGATGTAGCAACGGGTAAAAGTCTATTTATAGCGCCTTGTAAAGATAATGTTTAGAATAGACGTTGTTTAGGTTTCGGATGAATGACACACTTAGTTGTTATTAATTTTTTTATGCGATATTACCAAAGGATTTATTTTTCTCTTATAGCAGCCTGTACTTAAATGTGGTATACCTCAGAACCGTTTTTCTATGTACATAAATATCTATGGAATATTTTCCTTCGAACGGCTGTTTCTTTGTAAATAGTGATTAATAACTACTTTTTACTGTATTCCTCATGTGATTATCAAAATCAATCACACCATTTTCTTGACGCATAGTTTTAGTTTCGATATCAATTTTAAATTAAAACTGCATGTTAAGAAATTAATATTCACGTTCGGGATGAGTATGATTTTAAATAAAATATTTTACTGGCAATTTTATTTTTTTGTTTGTAATAAGATTTTATACATTACTCGAATATAAGGTTTACAAAAAAATATTTAAGCGCAATCTCTTCTTCAATGCTGTAACTAACAATAATACAGAAAGCAAAGTAACATTTTTACAGTGGCCTGAATAAATATATAGAAAGACTGTTAGATTTTACTAATAAATAAGAGGGGACGCTTTAAAATTTTCCTTTGCCAATTATAATAATTATTGATTACCAAAAAATATATATTTAGAACTCTGCAGTCTCATTTTTACAGGTGGTCTGAATAGATGATGATCATATTTTACTATTAAATAAGAGGTGGCGCTTTAAAATTTTCCTTTGCCAGTTATAATAATTATTGATTACCAAAAAATATATATTTGGAACTCTGCATAGTCTCATTTTTACAGGTGGTCTGAATAGATGATGATCAGATTTTACTATTAAACAAGAGGTGGCGCTTTAAAATTTTCCTCGATTATTTATAATAATTATATTGGATGATAGGTGGCGCTCGAAATGCTTTGAATCACAAAGTACTTCTTTTCTTTTTCATAATTGTATAAGATGTAGGTAATAAGAAATAACACAATAAATTAGGAAAATTGGATTTTTTATTTTAAAATATAATAAGTAGGAAAGAAGAAAAAACAAATATCGTTATTGCTTTATTATTGTTATAATTACGAATTAAATATTAAAACGGAACGAAATTAAATTGATATACAGTAAAAATGATACAATTAATGAATAGATCGTTTTTATTTTCTTAATAATCTGACTGGTTAGCAAGGAACAATACTGTGCTGTTTCAAAACCTAGACATGTTTGATATGTAGGGGATCGCGTGTGACTAGGTTTTAGGTTTTATTTTAAACGTGAGTCGTAGTCGTTACGCAGTCCTTGCGCGAATGGTACGGAAAAATGGAAACGTTGTTTGCGTCGTTTTTTTTGTACATCATCAAAGTAAGGTCGGCAAATAAATATTGTATTTGTAATCCTCATGCAATGTCATTCTTACAGCTAGTTTTTTTCAATGTTTTTTGTTTATTTTTTAAAATGTTTTTCTAGGTAAACGATCAGAACTAAAGTACTATCACATTAAACGCGAATGTATTTTTGGCAACAATGATAATTCCTTACATATCCACAAAAATTTATTCGATATTTACTCGCTATTTTGCGAAGGCGGGCGCGCCTTAAGACGCGTTTTCGGACGCGCCTCGGCGAAAAAATGGTACATTTATGACTTTTTTTTGAAAATAAATAGATGTTCGCTAAGTTTACTTGTATAGAGTAATACGAAAATGACTGATACATGGGACAAAAGTAGCCTAGCTAACGTAGTAAAGTCGTCTTAACTACCGCTTCTGTTTTCACTTTTCTTTATACATTGATATTATGACGTAGTTCGTTTAGATAATGATATGGAATTTTTTTTACCGATAAAAAGATAATAATGACAAGTTGAAAGTTTTTTATACACAATATTGCTTAGGTCTTGTGAGCTCGAGGGTGAAAATAGTCGTTATTTTTTTTCTTTTCCGTAATAAAAAAAATAAATTAATACTAAGCGAAAGGAAACAAAAAATCAATAGTCGTAAATGCAACTGACGGCTTTGTCAACATTTGAAACTGGCCGTCGATAAAATTCTAACAATAATCGTTAATACAGAGTAGCAATAATAATAATAATAATAGAATCTTTTCTTTTGTAAAACTTACTTTGGCGACAATGGTTATTTTTTTTAATAATGCGTAGGGTAGAAGTCCATCCGCTTCTTCGTTTCCTCTAACAGACAACCCTGTAGGTAAAATTTAAAGAACTAAAGGGCCCTACTAAGTACTGATTATATCCATTCAACTAACAAGTAACAGTACATAAACGCAACGCACTTCGTCTACAAACCCACCGTTTTAACATATCTATATACACACTGCTGTACAAGTAGTAGTAATAGTAGTAGTCGAGTTTTGATCTGTGTTTTACGCACACTACTCAGATATGCCGTCGTCGTTCATCTTTCCGTCGCCCATCATACAATGCTTCCAACATTCCATAGGCGACTCCAAGAGACATCGAAATAATAAAGATATAACATCGTCCGATTTTTTTTTAATTCGCGATTTTCGCTCACTACGCGTCGATCACGCTCGGATCGCTATGATTCACGTTCACCGTTAAATCTTCCGCCATTCCTTCACCGTGCCCATCTTCCATTTCCTCGTACTCCGAATGCATCTCCCTCTTGATCACGTGATGCACTGGTTGTTGGTCCTCCCGCTGCATATGATGGTCCTGTTGCATTATACTCTCTTGTTTTATATGAAGGCCACCATTTAAAGGTGACCTAAATGAAAACCCATACAAACAAATCTCATAAGATTTTTTTTGTTAACAAATATATTTGAATTATTTCTTTTATTGTTATTATTTAATCATACAGGTTTAGGAGATACAACGTCAATCATCAAATACCTATGTTGTATAAATCCAACAAAATTTTAATAGGAAAACTGTATCTCATAAATCATTAATGATTACTATATTTTTCATAAAACATAAATGTTTGTTTAGAAATACCTCATGTGGTCATGTGGTGGTGAATCGGACCGTTCTCCTGGTCGGGCGCTCATGTTGGCCCCGGATAGGTACGCCAGATTCTCCTCGAGCAGCGAATTCTGCGAATACTGCCACGGACTCCCTTGATACGACTCGACACCGCTAACGTTTTTCGAACGTACCTGTATGTTTCCCGTCAATGGATCACCGTACATCGTGGGACTGTGGTTCATCGTTGGACTCTTCGACGTTCCGCCCCTGAGAAAATCATGAATAATGAGTACTCAATTTCTTATATAAACCAATTATATTAAACATTAACACACATAGAAAAATTTTATAAAAAAGTTTATATTTTAAGAGATAGAAAAAAGAGAATTCAAAAAAGCGAAATTTGTTTGAAAAAACCTACCGTTTTGGAGGGGGGGTATCGTTCTAGTGAGGGCAGATAAGTGCTAAAGACTTTCTTTTGGACACAAATGTTATTTATTTAATATTTATTTTCGTATAAATGTTTAACTAATAACATTTGTTAGCTACATTACGGCCGTAGTTCCTGTGCGAAATATCATTTACCTGATTTTCAGCTTTTCCGTCCGTGGGCTTCGTGTCTGACCGAACCTTTTTCCGTGAGAAAAGTGTTGGGGCGGCCGGATAAATATGAATTAAAAAGAGAGATAAACCTCGCACAGGAACTGCACACGGCGCGCTAATTAAAGCGTGCAAGATAAAAAACATTTAGAGAAAGATAGAGTCGAAAAAGGGTCGACGGGGTGAAAAAAGGGGGCTTAAAGAGATTTAATTACGTTTGGGTACCTCTTTCCTTGCGGCGTCGGAGCGCCGACGTTTATGTGTCGGCGCGGTCGGTCTCTGCAGTCGTTATTAGGGTTGTTGAGTAAACCACCAAAATCATCATACATAAAGTAATATATTTTTTTTTCGTAAAAAATTTTTTTATATGATGATTTTAGTTGTATACTATTTTTTATTAAGTAGCATAACCACATTCATACTGAACAAGCAGGTTCTTCTGATTTGGTATTGAATTATCTTTTGTGTTATCTGGTAAGAGCGCCAACCAACCTAACATTCTGCAAGCTGCCGAATTCTACGTTCATCTAACATGCGGACTTGCGAGAGCAGGTGTGATCTTTTCTGTGGTACTCTGGTGTACTTAGGTGTGTTTTTGTAGTATATTGGTGTATGTAAAAAAATATATTTGGATCGGAGCTAAAAAAATAATCATGCTTCGATCGGATGGCATCGGCCGTAGACGTTTCGGGTTCATGCATAGGTAAGCATCGGCTTTATCCTCTAAAACGGGTCGTAAATAAAAGATGGCGAACTGGCAAAGAAAATTAAATGGCTGGGAGGAGGCACGCGGTACTTGCTGACGACGACCGATCCGGGGATCTCCCCTTTTTTTTGAAACCCCTCTTTCCCCGGTCGAGCGCAATTATATTTATAGCGGAAGATATCCTCCAGTCACCAAATGTGTGCCTTCGGATTTGCGAATTTTCCGGGGCGCAATCTGACCGCGGAATTAATTTCCCGTAGAACACCCACCCCCGGCGAAAAACTGACCCTTCGCGTTTTCCCATCCAGTATTTGATTTTCCTTCATTTTCCGAACGCGATTAAAACCACCGCGAAAATCAAGAATAAACTTTATTTTTTTTTTAATTATGATTTTTATTTCTATATATTTCTAATTAAAGGAGAAAAAAAATAAGAAGCTTAAAGCCGAGCAAATTGCATTATATTTCCTAGCTTATGAGGTAAGTAGTCGCGTCGCGTCTATGGTATAGTGCTTACTGTGCGCAGTGGGGTGGAGTAGGTGACGGGGTGGGATCATATTTCCGTGGGCGGCCACGCGACAAGTGGCGCCGCTTCACAAATTCGGCGTCATCAACCATCCAAAATGACCCAAAGTCGTCCTCATAGCGCACAAAACACTTGTGGAGTGATAGATTGGTGCGAATCGCATTCTATACACCCAGACCCAAGAAAAGAAAGATCACAATCAAGTCAGGTCAAGTTAGCGTCTTCCGGCACGTGACGCCAGGTGTATACCTTCCCAAGACTCCACGTCGCTTTTAGTTTTGCTGGTAGGCCTCTGCGTCATGCTGTTACTGACCTCGCAGTCCCCAATCACTCGAAACGTACGCTCTAAATCCCCACGCATTCAATATATCACTCATTCACACCCGGTCGAGTTCAACGAACGAACGCATGCGTTGTGAAAGACGGCGCAAGCGCTCTACGATTGCGCAATTTTTCGCAAGCAACTACGAATTCGTCCCAAAAACCCCACCGCCCTTTCATTTAAAATGTTAATAAATTGTTAATAAAAAAGGGGGATAAATATATAAATATTAAAAAATAGATTAATAGAGTAGTAAAAAACCCACACTAGACGAATACATAAATAGATATATAAAAGTGGCAAAAATATCGGTTTGCAGGGCATCAGCGACGTACCCTACGACTGGCTGCACCAGGGGCCCTGAGGAACACCGTTGAGGTCGTCTCTTGTAGAATTCCACTTCGTCTACGGTCCAAACGGCACCCTTAACATTTTCGACCCTCATGAAACATTTGTGTAGAGACAGGTTGTGTCGTACGGCATTCTAACAACAGATCAAACACTCCCAAATAAACAATGCGAGGCACTTCATCGAATTCGGCAAACTTTCGTCCTAAGTCCACTGGGGCCGGCCCAAAAATAACAAGTGCCGACTGGGCCGGCGGCCGCAAAGATTTACCGAATTCAAGTTTTCGTAATCGAACGAAAATTAAATCAAACTTAAAATTACTTCGCGCACACAAGTATTAGTGCACTTCAAAAAGAATTAAAAAAAAATTTTTTTAATTAAAAAAATTAATAATAAATAAGTAATAATAAAATCCATTTCTTCGTAGTGCTCCTGGCCCTGAAAACGTAGTGAGCTACCCAAAAAAATACTTTACCAAAATAGATGAAATTTTATTTTTTTTTTATCCAAAAACCAGAACGTTACTGTACCTTCCAAGTTGCTGCGTTCCTTCGGAAGTAGCAAAAAGTGTTTTGGAACCAGTTGTATATTTCATTGAGTGTCAACTGTTTGTCTGGAGATTCTATGATAGACTGGAAAATAATATTTTTCAATTTGTTATTTATTATTAGATTAATTAAGGTCGTGTAACCCACCAAGTTTATACAATAATTAAGCAATTAATCAAATAAATTAGACTAACTTTTCATCAAAATCTCAAGATTGAACTTGTACACTAACTTTTGCATAGCAGTGTACATTGATATAAAAACTTGCTTTAATCGAAAATTGTTTTAAATAAAAGTTGTTTAAAATTTGATTTGAATTTAATTTTTTAAATACAAAATACTAAAATTTTTAAGGTTATATCACATATTGTTGTTATTATCGATAGTTATTTAGAATAAAACTCGGAATTATAATAATATTATTCATTATTGCTTCATGTACTTGGTGGGTATTTTTTTTAAATAATGCGTTTATGTACTAAAGACATAGAAAATAGAAATAGTTTGTATAAAAATTTGAAAAATATTTTGTTTGTGCATACCTGTCTGATGAGTGAGGCGTACGTGAATGGTGGCCTGACGTCGGCGTTCTTGTAGAACTCCCTATTCCGTTGTATCTCTGTGAAACGTAAGAAAAAAATGAGAATCGTATAATTTCAAGACTGTGGGCGCCCGCGCTAAGACTATACTTCTATTTCTAGTGCAAACAAGTGTAAAAAGTATCCCATTAACTCTCTGACTACACTTTTCCCACAACGCCGGCCGGCGGAGGGTAAACAAAGAGGCCGTTTTAACGTCCGTACGGCCGGCGATCTCAAATATTTAACCAAACAGATGTATAGTTTGAAATTTAGTATTTCTATACCTTGTTGGACGTCCAGTCCGGCCCGTTCCAACATGTACGGCAAGCCTGACAGCGCAGCGTAAGAGAACACGTGGCCTAATTTAGAAACGGTCTATACAGTTCGCGGGATTACCGCACTTACCACCTGCTAGTGAGAGTGCACTCTTGTCACTGATCCGCCTCCTGATAGGACCCGCTACGTTTGAAGCTGACGAATGCAGCACCGGTGACCTTACTGCCGACACCAAAGGACCCATCGAAACGGGAGGTTGAGGATGGACTCCACCGAGAGGAAGTTTCCCCCCAACAGCAACGCCACCGTCCTTCAATGGTTCAGGGGACCCTAACTGCTTCGATAAGTGCAGGTGATGCATCATCGCCTGCAACCTGTCTCGTTCTTTTTGCAACTGGAGCTCCAATTGTGACACTACTTGCATCTGCACTCTAGCTTGAGCAGTCGATCTGTCGTCAAGGGTGTGCTCTGTATTCAGATGTCTACAATTCGATTAGAAACAAATCTATTTTTATGAACATTAAATGGGGGACATTTCAATTAACAAAAAAAAAATAAAAATAAAATTAATTATTTCATACCAGTTTCGGTTTATGTAATCTTCAGGAAATAACAATTTTATTTATATTGATTGAATAATGTCGGGGTTTACGTCGAAATGTGATGTAAAATAAAAATAGGTATTTAAACAAAAAAAATAAAATAAATAAACAATAGGAAGATGGGTGTTTTAAAGATGATGAAAGCGTGTCGAAGTTAAATAATTCAAAGGCGTTTAAATAAGAAATAAAAAAGGGAGGCGATAAAGCGTTTTTCCGGCGGTCCCGAACCCGCAATTAATTTCGGTTTATATTTAGTCCTTCGGCGCCCGTTTAATATGTAAAGGAAAAGGGCGCGCGGGGTGACCGTCAAATTACAATATTCCAGCGACAAAAGAAAGTCAACCTGGAATAAATTAGGGTAGCGACGTTGTTTAAAAACTCTAATGAAGGGATGTTTTAATTAATATGCAAGACGCTCGATCGGGCGGGATTTAAAAGTCAATCTCAACGTCGTCTTCGTTGACGTCGGGGGGAATGTGGTTGCGCGGCGTCGGCGTCGGCGTCGACTTACTTCATAAACGCAGAGAGGTCATCGCAGATCACCTCACAGCCCGGCCATTTGCATACACCGTGTCCGTAGAGGTGGTGTACCCTGTCTGGGGTGCTAGTTCTATCGATTTTGTCCTCTGTATTCTCTTCCCTTTCGCGACTCGAACGTCCCGGCGTCACAACTCCTAATAAATCTGAAGAATCTTAAAAAAAATTTTTTTTGCTAAATAAACATATTATTTATTGTAATATTTACCATTAACATCTGATGCTGCTTTAGAATTAGAAGATTGTTGATCGCCGGTGAGTTCTTGTTTCCAGGGTGACATTACCTCACGGGGTGTGACCCCTGCAAACGTAAGGGGTAGTTGTTTTAGGGCGATATCTTTCCAATTTTAGCGTTGGCAGGCGGAGACAGAGTTTCACGTGCGTTTAAAACGTCGGAGAACTTGGGGTGGTGAGGTGGGTGAAGAGGGCGCGGGAAGGACGGGCAACTGCCAATTGTTTTAACCGCACGTGAAAGTCGCCTGTCCGCATACGGGCGTCCTGGAAAATTCATTCGGCACCGGAAAAACTGTGGAAGACCCCCGTCAATATCGGCAATTAATTATTCGAAAAGTGGCATTGCCCGGCGTCGAGGGGTTCGATTGCTAATGAGGGTGGGACAGGAGGGGATTGACAAGTAGGTACCTACCTTTCCACCGATCCCGAGTTCTTCAACTGCGTGAATCTCTGTCTCTCGCTACCGCGTTTTTTTAGTTTTAATTATTGACTTTGATATTATTGCAAATTACATGCATGATCTTTTAATGAACTTTAATATAACTGACTTTAATGACAATTAAAAAAATCTTGTAGATTTTCCCAAGAAAAAAAACTACTCTTCCTGCCTTTCTTCCTACCTGGACCTTGTGCTAACATAAGAGGTTGCATCCCCATCCCTTGGTGTACAACATACTGTCGTTGTATCAATTGGATCTGTTGTATGAGCTGTTGTTGTTGTATAACTAGTTGTTGTAAAGGGCCGGAGGAAGCTTTTTTCTTATCCCCACTTTGAAGTATGTGTGTCTGCTGGATAATATTAAGTTGGAGTTGTTCTTGAAGTTGCTGCATCGTTTGCTCGATTTGTTTCTTCCCTAACTCGGCAAGTTGATGTTGCTAAAATAATGCGCATAAAAACCTATCCATGCTGAAATTTGCGTGCTGTAGGAACCCTACCTGTTGTTGCTGTTGTAGCATGCTATGATGTTTCATAAGCTGCTGAAGTTGATTGGGACTTAAAACGTGCTGTTGTAATAATTGCTGCATATGGTGAAGACCGGGCACAGGTGAAGGTAACATCTGTGGCCCGGCGGATGACTGAAATTTTGAGGAACTTCGATAGAGGAAATTTTGACTAAAACTACAAAATACGGTACTTGTGATACTGGAACAGTCGTGATAACCGGCTTTTGTACGTCCGGTGGCGTAGCCGGAGAGTGATCCTGCACCCGGGGTTCGCCACTTGGGGGGCTGGAGTTTCCATTTCCCTTAATCTCCCTATCTTCCCAAGCCCGCTCCAGGTCTAACTGTTGTTGCTGCTGGTGTTCCTTGAGCACTTTTTCTAAGGAGGCAGCCTGCTGAAATGAAAGCCCGAAATCCCGGGTTAATTTCCTCCAAAAACTATCATCAATTAGTCGGCCCGGTTCGACGGGGCCGTTGTTTAGTCCTCGCGAGGGGACCGTATATAAATGGGGGCATATGGCGCTTCGACAGTGGGGATTCGATAAATTAAGACCTCCCAAGCTAAGTACACCGTAAAGTGTGAAATTCATACCGGCAGTCCGGCAGTGAATTATGTCCTCTTGACCATGTCTCCCCATTTGTCAAAATTGCGAAATATATATTACGTTTTATTGCTTGGTATTAAGGCTAACGCCCTCCCTCCCCTCTCACGCTTCGACGGATACGCAGCTACCCTCCTTTTTATATACCCCTATACTTTGAAATTGTATTTTGAAACGAACTTTAAAAACAATGTATTCGATTTTATACTATAATAAGTTTACAAAATAATTATATAATATATATATATATAGAGAGAGAGAGAGAGAATATAGATTTTATTAGAAATATAAGGGGAACAAAAAGAGGCAGTGCGAAAAAGTAAACACGAAGGAAATAAAAAAATCGGAATACGAAAGTATCTAAATATGAATGGGGGGCGGTTAAAAAGTGGAGCGGTTGATTTTGATATTCGCGATGCAAATTTTCTTATTCGAGAAAGTGGCGTTTAGGGAAGGGCACGGTGGTACGTGGTTCGAAGAGTGTGAGGGTATATAGGAGAGAGGTGGGGGCGTGGTGAGGTCCGGGGATTTTTTAAAAATATCACCGGCCGCCTATCGTTTCATTTAAATTTTCAAACAAAGTGCCCTCTTCTGAATAAACATATTTTGAAACCCCGCGTAATAAATATGCACAAGTTCTCATTCGCAACTTTATATCAAATTTCCATAGTCAGAAAAACGGACCAACCCTTTTCCGGGGTTATTTATTATTTTAAGAACGTAAAAATGGATCTCTTTTCATAGAGGGCGAAGTTTTTCTCCTCGGCCTCTTTGTCCCAAGATTTATGGTTATTATTGTTTGGTAAATTATTGTTATTATTGTCCGTAAAAATATAAAATTTGAAGGTGGGGGGGAATGATGTATGCCTCGGACGGACGAAAATACCTGAGAGGGTGGAAGAGCGCGACTTTTCGGGGGGAGGTGGAGCCGTTTTGGGGGTGGCATATTCTCATTAAATCTTTCTAAATTGCACTCCGGGTCTGCCTAACACCATTGGTATTCACTGCGAGAGCAGGCCGGTAGAAAAAAGTCGGAAAAAAAAACTTCTTACCCCCGATCGCATAATTCATATGCAGAGAGCCATGTTTTGCTAGCGCCCGGCAATATTATTACCATATTTTTCACATAATGCGCCACTGTATATGGGTTTTATTTCATGTGACATCATCGTAATGCATTTTAACGTCTCAGCATTCATTGGGGCGTAAGCGCGCCGCGCTTTTTATTATAAAGAAGCACGATCTCGCAGTAAATATTTGTTAGCTGCGGTTTTTGTATCTTTCTCCCTCCCCACGGTTTCAACCCTGCCCTGCCCCCGAGGCGACAATGAAATTAGCAAGACACCTCACCCCGAAAAGAAACGCAGAACTCGATCGAATAACGAACCGGAATATAAAATTTTGACGGGGAAAAATTTTAAATTCCATGTACAACCCGAACGCGACCAAGTCGATTTAACAAGTTCCAATTCTGGAAACATTTCTCACTCAACCAGAAAAACCAGTTCCATTTCTAAATCGAAGTTTATCATAAAATCATATTTTAGTTATTATCATAGTAAAGAAAAGTTCGAAGTATCATTACTTGCAATGGCAAATAAAATTAGGAATTGGATGTACTAAGCCCAAGAGTGTCATAAGCTTCCAAATTGAAAATTTTGATTTTCTTAATTTTTTCTATTGTAACATGTGCTGAATGACCTATAGACGAGGAAGAGTACAGACAATTCAAATTTGGCAATAGCAAAAAAATTTTGATGATAATATCTATTTATTTAAAGTTAGTTGAAGATTGGCAATGACTGTGGATGACAAATTAAAAGAGTACAAAAGGAGATTTGCGGGTGTGGGGAGGAGAGGGGTTGAGTGTTGGAAAGTTGGGGAGACTGTGGGTATTTTTCGAGGTTGAAACGAACCAGAGGGGATGAGAGGGGTTGGCCTCGGGTGAAAAAGAAAGGCCAAGATTGAGTTTATATAATTCACCGTGCCGCTAATTGATATTGAATCATTTATACGCGGAAAACAGTGGTGCCTGTATTTGTAATCGGGGCAGTGGCGCGACGCCGCGGGGGTGGCTTATTATATTACCGGCGCAGACAATGGTCTCGCGTCCAAAGACGAGGGGAACGGTATTTTGCCGCGGAACGAAACGGTGCCCCATTCAATTCGGTCCCTTAATTCCGGTCCGATTTAGATATCCACCGATTGGCGGTGTCGCTCATTTTTTACCAACCTATCTCTCAATTACGGCCCCCGTAACAATACACCCCTTTGCGCGTTTTTTATTGTTCCCCGACGTTTCGGACGTCTCTCCAATTACGACCGACGTCCGTTTCTCTTCTCTTCTTATTCTTTTCGACCCAGACGCCATCCATTAGCGTAATTTATTAGAAACTTTTATTTATACTCCCCCGTAGGTAGAAATAAAATAAAAAAACGTAAAAGCTCGGAGGAAGTTCGATATCTACGGGAAATCGAGAAAAAGGCAACAGAATCGGAGAGAATCGAGGGGATGTCGAGTTTTAAGCTTCGAGTTTTCGAGATACGAGCTTTCCTGTTACGGAACGTTGTAACGTGTAGCTTCGATGGTCGTCACGGCGCAACTGTAACAGCGTAACAGGGTCGAGGGAAAGCCCCTGCTGTTTATGCTTTGTTGTGATGCTATATATATAACACAACGAGTATACAAAGTTCACGTGGGGGTTGGTCGTGAACGCAGTGCGTTTAGAGAGGTCGTAGGGTGAGCGTCGCGTTGGATGCCGTCGGGACGTCGCGATTTGTTGCATAAATTATTGTTTATTTTACCTTTAATGAACGCGACCGATTGTTTCGAAATTAACCTTGTTTATTAATTTATTCGAGCAAGTTATATTTGATCGCACGCCCGCCCGATTGTTTTTTCCCCCGTTATTTTATAATTAGTAAGTAATTATGAAATTTGTAATTGCAAAAATTAACGTGGTACCCTACCAGTTTGCACAGCCGATATTTCCGAATTTTACATTATTTGCACTCCCACTTATATTGCGCAAATATTAGTTAATTTATTGTTTTAAAAATGTAAAATCTCAAATAATAAATTCAAATAAAATTAAACCAGCCAGCAAAATCGTTTATTTTACTTTCCAAATTGTTAAATTACCCACCATTATCAAAAATTAATAAGTTTTCTTTCGCATCCAATAAAAATTATCTAAACACTCACTATTTCTTGACTTCATAAATAAATACCGCTTTTTTTTAACACAACGTCAACGACGTTAAACACTTAACTTTACAAAAACAAACTATGCAAAGATTTACGATCGCATGATGGAAAAACTCCTGTTTTATTATTGCGCATTTTCCTTTTTTTTATTATAAATGAAAAATATGTTATAATTAAAATAAAATAAAACGACTAAATAATTATATTCATTAAACCAACAGAATCAACGCTAATATTAAATATTACATCGAATAAAAACAAATCGACACGGTCAGCATAAAACTATAAAATTTAAACGTAATTTTAAATAAGCATTAAATATTCGTTTGTTATTTTACAAATTATAAGTTAATAGAGATTTAGCCCAAAAATTAATTAAAATTTTTTTTTTAATTTTTTAATATTTTTAAATACATTTTCTTAGGCCTGAATTATTTCAAAAATATTTTTAAATATTTTCTATTTTTTTTTAATATTATATATATAAATATATGGGAATTTTAAAATGAAGATAAAATTATTGTTGGAGATAGTAGTAAATTTGTAAAAACTTGAAATGTAAGCAAAGTAGATGTGAAAATTACCTGAGCAAAAGAGGCGAGCATACGAGTCTCACAGTACTTCATAGAGGCGGTTGGCGGGCGTCCGCGGTGGCAGAGCGTCACAACACCAAAACACAACTAAACACATAAACGGTAACAGCGTCTATTAATTATTTCTTTTTCGGTAGAAAGAACAAGAGTTAGTTGTGTTGTTGCGCAAAAAGGGTCGTTGAAGTCGCCGGGACGCGAGGACGCGAGGACGGCGCTACTCGTAGGCGGTACAAGCGCCGGCCCAGATGCGCACCGAACTGCAGTTTGTGTTGTTTGTGTGTGTGTACATCCAGCAACGGGATCGGCGGAGGAGGCGGAGGAGGCGGCCGAGGCGTCGGAGGCGTCGGAGGCGTCGGCGGCGACGGCAACGCCACGGCACGGCGCAACACCAGGCACCTACCACCTTCCAAAGCCGCCTACATACCTCCTACCACCGAAACGCTTTTGCACAATAAGACAGAACACTACAACTACTATCGAATAATGTGCGAGCTTCTCCCGCCGTTTTAAACAAAACTAAGGGGGGGCACCCGCCGGAGGGGTAGTTTTCGACGGAGAGGGGCACCCGCCGCCGCTGCCGCCACCATCCGCCACCTCCCCGTCGCCCCGTTGCACTGGATGCGGGAGCTCTGGAAAGGTAGGGGTGGTTAGCGGAGGTTATCGCCGCCTTTTTAACGTTCCCGAAGACGCAGAATTAAAGTATCGATCGGGGCCGCTTTTAATATTAAAAATCGCCCGCCCCGCACGTCCCCGCGCAAACCGTCCGAGACTCAGCGCCCTCTCCCCGCAGCCCCGCGTCGCGGTGATAACAAAAATCCGCCCTTTGGACACTTCGAAACTCGAATTATACCGATATCCTTCTACGTTTTCCGCCAAATTCGCCTTTTGCCCGGAACCTGTCCCTCTCTTTGTCACCCTCCGCCTTATTTCCAATTCCCAAATCATTCCGCGAAACCTCCCTTTCCTTCTTAGATTCATTCTTCTCGATTCGCACCCCTTAAACACCTCAAAAATCAACCAAATTCGCCCTTTTTCTCACTTAAACCTCATTTCGTAACCTCTCTATATCCTCTTTTACCTTATTTCCAATTTTTAAATCGCTTTACCAAGTCTTCATCTTTTAAAAGACTTTATTTCAACTACACATTAAGTTAGCATTATGAAGTTTGGAAAAAAAATTTAGACATGTATGAATGATGAGATGAGATGAGTGCAAATCATGCTGATTACTAAAAAAATGATGGTCCACTTGGAATAAAATGAACTGGATATAAATAGGATAATTCTCGGTTGAAGGTGAGAAGTTAAAAAAAGGGGGAAAGAAGAAATATATGACGTTCCGGGGAGGGTCTGCCGCAATCAGATGGTCCGGCCACCAATGGAAGCGGCAAAAGAAAAATGAAAAGATTGTATCAAAGAAATTGCTTTTATTTCTGGGTTGACACCCGCCGATTTGTTGAAGCATCAACGGCCGTGAATATTGCCAAGAAGGGGCCACACGTGTCGTCTTATTGACAAGTCCGAAGTACTGGATATTGTATGAAAATGATCTATCGAAGGGGCAGATATTGAATACACCCCCAAAACGGTCTACAAACGAAATTAGGGCTGATGACGGCGGCATTTAAATAATTCCGCTCTTTGCAATATCGGCATTCGGAGGTCGGCCGCTTGACGGTTTTTGTCGTCCTTAACAATTTGCCCCGACTGGAATAAGTGGCACCCGCTCGACCATTAGCCGAGAACGCTGTCCATTTGGCAAAGGACCGTAGCAGCGTCAGCATTCTGTCCTATCTCCCTCCGTGGCCAGGCGTTGTGGTCACCCGTCGCCATCCACGAAACCTCCGTAAATGCTTCCCTCATCCCCCTTCCTCTCACCCTTATTATCATATCGAATTCATCAACACATCCAGTTTTTATCGATTCTGGCGACGTTAGGGTATTTACACATCATCCACCTCTAAAACTGCATCTGACGTTTTCCGGAATTGATCTTTCCTTTTCCCTTCGTCATCACCTGGTTTTCTCATCACTTTACAGTCTCTTGTTATTTTAAACTTCTTTATTTTCATTTTTATCTTTCTGGCAAGTTATCAATTTTGTCAAGTTAATTTTCTAAAATTACATCTTATATCAACAATTGAGTTGGTTGAGGTCCATAATTTCTTGGAGCTTTTTTCCTTGTTATTATTTTATTGGGAGATGTTAGGCAATCACCAATACCCGTGGTCTACCTCAATGATACGACATAATTTTCTTGGAAAGTCAAAATTAGAATACTGAGGAGGTGCATTCATGAGATGTAATGCATTTTAGAGCAAATTTAATGTAGTTCTATTCAGCCGTAAATTATTTCTTTCCATTAACTTAGTCGTTTTGATTTTTGAATCCAATTCAGCTTGTTTGAACGATTATTCAGAAAGATGAAAATTAAATAAATCATATCTCCCAAATTAATTGAGATATAAAACTGAGATGTAACGCGTTTCAAAGCAAATTTAATCTAGATTTAGTGTGCCTTAAATTATTTCTTAGCTTCCATTAACGCGGTCGTTTTGATTTTTTGAATCCAATTTTGCATGATTGAATAAAGATGAAAATTAAAAAAATTATATCTGCCAAATTAATTGAGATATACAGCATATTAAACAAATTTAATGTCTAAAATTAAAGGAGATAAGTATATGTATAAGTAATATGGAAATAAAAGAAAAGTCTATGTTAATGTTAGTTGACGTTGATAATTTTGTATAATCCCAGTTAATTCCCTGAGAATTTCGGTTAGTTGGCTCGACGAGGTGTCAGTTAATTGTTTACTATCGGGGTTTGGGCAAATCGATTTTGTTATTTGTCGGGGATTAGGGGTAGCTTCGATGGACGTACTGTTTGCCTTCGAAACAAGTGTCTAAAACAACCCTTTCTATCATGGAAGTGTTAGATATGTTGTATTTGGATTATTATTGTTTCTGTGTGGTTTTTGTGTTTGGAAGGAAAAAAATTCCACCCCGGCTGGAAAAGAGAAAGTAAAAATACCATTATAGCACGGGGGGACGGCAAATTTATGCGGTTTGAGGACATTCAATAACATCTACAAGTTACGAGTTAGCTTTCTATAGGCGATATTCAATAAAATAAAGCTTCGAGAAGGGCTTGACAATGTGTGCGGCTTATACTTTCCGAAATATATTTGCACGACCGGGGGCCCGCATAACAATCCCAGAAGGATCGGCCTCTCGCGTGATATAAGTTGTCTTCAGGCAGGTGCCCAAGCTTCGGCAATATTTCCGATAACCAATATCGAGGACGACATAAACTTCGACATTCAACTCTACGCGAACGCTGTGGATTCTACAGATTATGTCCGGATTATTGCGAACGTCGCTTTTAGAGGACCTCCATCCCCGTTTGCCAAAATCAAAAAACGCGGATACAAGAGGAACGAAGTCCTGATCTAACCCCAACTTTCATCTTTGCAACCCATATTCCTTATCTTAGACACACATTCCTAAGCCGGACTTTCGTTTATGACCTTTGTGAACAAGATTCGATACTTTTTATTAAAACTACTATGTGCTCATCATATTGCTAAAATGTTATGATATAATGAGGGTGGTGGTCGAAATTTAGTGGAAAATTATAAAATTGGTTGATCCTCGTATGCGAAGAGACCCCTTGTATATTATGTTTAAAGAGTTTAAATAGGATGGGGAAGTTCGGGAAAGATAAGGGCGAGCCGAAAAAAAATTGGTGTAAACAAGAAACAGCGAACGAGAAGCGGTCGGAGGGTATCGAGGTGCCGGGTTCCCCCTTCCGGTCACTGTCTCCTATTATTTCGGTTAAACATTTCTCATTGCGCGTTCCGCGTTCCTCTCCGTCCGCTGCGAGAATACTAAATAAACATAAGTTTTAATTGAAGAATCTCGCCGGCCCAGCCCGTTATTAGACCGGCTACCAACCGATGCAAATACAGATTATAAAGATCGGCGAGATGAAAAATGAGATACGGCATCCGCATTGTCTTATGTTATGACAATGGAGCCTTCCGAAGAGACCGGGGCCAAATATTTGCCTTCCACCGTAATGCCGCCGCACTCGGGCCGCCTCCAAGCCCGCGAACGTGGAAGAAGCACAAACGGAACGTGAATATTTATTATAACTACTGTTTATATACCTACGAACCCCCCGTTACGCTTCGAGGACTCCGGCCCGTCACTGCTGCTTACGTATGCAGCTGAATCCTCCCTCGCACCTCTAATATTAAAATTTGATTCCATCCCCCTACAGAAATTCTCCCAGTACTTATTGTCACCAATCGATAAAAACAAACCAACTTTTTTTACTTTACAAACATTTCAAACAATCAATACGTTAATATACATATATATATAACTAAAAGTTTCAATTTGTAATTCTCATGGTGATAATTACCATTTATTAAGCTTAAAAAAGTCGTATTAAAAGTCTTCCTGAACTAGGTGAAGTTTTCCCGTTTTCTGAAATTTTTCATTTTGCGTTTGCTATCTATTAGAATTAAAATTTATGATTCCCAGGGTTATTATTATTATGTTCTCTGCTTAATCAAATTATTACGAAAGTCTTCCTATATTACGTTGAAATTTATTTTATGTAAAAAAGATATTTGAAGGAAGTATTGAATTTAGAATTAGGTTGGGTTTTGGGATCGAGATTAAGTGTTTGTGAGGTAGTGAATCGTTTTTATCCGTTGGGGTAGAAAGAACGTTTTTGGTGAAGCTTTGGGTTTTTAGTTTTGCCCAAAATAGTATCGAAGGAAATTAGCAAGGGGTTGGAAGGCAGGGGTCGAAGGGTATTTCGGGCGAGTCGACAAGACGACCGTTAGCATTGATTGGAGTCCTTCGTCACCCGTCACCTCGCAAGATTACCTCAGGGCAACCATAACACGGCTTTTAGCCGCGAAAAAAAGATAAAGAAAAAGCGGCCCAATAAAACAGGGCTAAGGGTTCGGGAACGGGGAACGGGTCCAGCGGAAAAAAGGGAGATTTTCATCTGATTAATACCTGCTTCTGCGGACGTCAATAACCGGGTGAAACCGATGAGGGTGGTTTGGAGAATACAGCACGACCCTTCTAGGCGTCCTCGCTCCCGGCTATTTAATTAAGCGAGTAACTTTGACTATTGTCGCGGGTTGGAAAACTATGGACACGTAGGTGCTGTGCCGATGCGGGAAAATCGTGTGGAAAAACAAAAAAAAAGAACGCAAAGTGGGAGGAAGGGATAAACGAATTAAGCTTTATTTGGCGGAGTCGAATTAAAATGGCGGCTCCTCCGGCGCGGTTTATTTCTACAACAAAAAGACAATAAGAGCGGAGAGACTACTGACAGCGGTATTTGTTTTACAGATGGATCTGGAAAGCCAAACACAAACAAGACCGAATGGAGAGAGAGAGCTAGGCGGTTAGGGAAATGTGGTTAATCCAGATGCGAGAAATAAACGACCCTCGCTGAGTCATCGCCGATGGTCTCCCCTCGATATTTACCGATAAATAATTTTTTTGGTCTTCGCGAGCGCGTAATATATTTTAGAAGCATTAGCGACCGACACTTTTCCGTTTCCCATCGTCGCGCCGACGTCAAAGGTTTTGAATTTTTCGAGATAATTCCAGCGACGATCGAGTTTTCTTCTCGCCAATAAAAGAAATCCTCTGACGAGTAAAGTTTCCCCCTTGCGTTTTATTCCGGGTAATCCACTTTGAATGAAAAGCAAGCAAATAATTTTTGAACACGTTGCATTTTTGACCCTTTCTGTTTTCTTTCGGTCGGACGACGGAGAAACGATGGGACTACGTCGTGCCTCTCTACGTCTACGTTTCTGTTCGGGGTTCGGGGTTCGGGGTTCGGGGTCTGAGTCTGAGTCCAATTTAAAGAAGTCATTTCCGCGTAAGACAGTGGCGGAGGCGCGGGGTCGCCCGAAGTTAGAAATGCGGTGTTGACGTTTTGCGATATAGCCGGGCATGCAAAGACTAAATTGAATTTGGGACTGGCCGTCCTGTTTGGATTCCAGGATGGTTGTTTAGTTTGCCGGAACAAAGAAAACAGCCATGTGTTTATTCTGCTTGAAATAGCAAGCCACTCCCGGCCAGCCTCGGACCGACGATGTAAACACCTCGGCAAGGCCCAACGTCCGATACAACGGACTTTAACTAGTCGATCCAACGACGTCTACGACGCCCCCTACTGTCTTTAGTTTGAAAAACCGTCGGGCCCTTTTAACGAGAATCCTATCGCGGGCTTACTGAGATAGTACGTCTCCGCTTCTAAGTGAGATGTAATGCTTCAGCCAGATACCCGGGACTATTAACGCGTACACTGGATTTTCCTCCACGGTTATCTAGATAAATGGATGCCTAAAACTCCTCGAATATTTATATATCGTCCCGGCAAATAGCCTACTCCGGTGCGCCTCCGCTGACGTTCGCCCCACACACCCTCTAGCTACCCCTCTTCCCCAGCTTCCGTACTCCAACCCCCATATCAAATCCGCCACACTTTTGTAAACAATACCCTATTTAATTGCTTTTACAGTCTCCTGCACTCTTTTAGCATTAAATATTTCCCGGCGATCGTTGAAATCCAAACATCTGGAGGCGGACGATACGGCTCTACGAAAATAACCGTTAATACTACAAAATTTTCATTTACTTCTTTCTACCCATCTCCTTTTTTTACAAGAAAAAAGAAGAAATTTACATTTCCACCTCGCGCATTTTTTTATTTTTTATTTTTAAGAAAGTTGAAAACAATAAAAGCTTCAATTGGGGAGATGGGGGGTTCCTTTTTATTGATTGGATTAGTAATAAGAATCGTGAGGATTTTTGCTAATAATAAAAATGAATTAATAACGAACTGGATAAAGGTTGGGGGATGGCCTGACACCGGGGAAAGTTTCTGTTTTTAATTTAAAGTCAGAAAACGCGACGTCGCGATGGCAGGTGAGGGGCGACGGAGGTGGTGGGGAGGGACGTCGGCGGCGGATTCACATTAAATTAACGCTTAAAAACCGCTTTTTAATTTCGACATTAAGAAAGGAGGCGGAAGTGTGAACGTAGCAGCCGGCATTTGTTAAAATCCTTAATTAAAGTCGAAAAACAAAGAGAGCGCCGCGCGGACCGGCAAATATCTTAATTTCGGAAACTTTATCGAACGCATCTATCACGGTGAGTTACGGGAAAGTTGAAAAAAAGCCCCTCCACCCCCCGTCCCCGGGCACCGCATCTAAATACGACGGTACTTTATATTGGAGACATCTGGCACAAAACTCTTTCAATTAAGATGAAAAATCCAAGTGCATTAGTATAAACTCGGAGGGTAACTCCCAAACCGGTCGTGATTAGAGGGGGCATCCCTCCTCTCATCGAGGATTTTTAATATTTTCCCAGGAAGAACGAGTATCTACTCACTTGTTCAACGTTATCCGCTGGCACTCCATCGTTTGGAGTTGTGGCAGCCGATGGTCGCTGCGAAGTCGAAAGGTTAATTGCACCATCTCCATCTATGTCTTGATCCATAATACCATCATCCTATAACAAATTTATTCATTAATAATATTAAATAAACACAAAATAAATATTAAAAAAAAATTTGATTTTTTCTGATTTCCTTTTTGTACTTTCCAAGTATTATAATCAAAATTAAAACTTTTCTGGGCGATAATTATGCTCTTTTAACCATAAAAAAATGATATTAAAAGTCTTCTTATCCTAAGTCAAAATTTGATATTTTCCAAATTTTTTTTTGTCAAGTATTAAAAAAAAAAATTAAATCTTTTCTGGGTGATAATTATGCTCTTTTAGGCATAAGAAAATTATGTTAAAAGTCTTCCTCTCCTAAGTAAAAATTTTATATTTTCTGAATTATTTTTTGTGTTGGGCAAAAAGTTAAAATTGAAATTGGCGATAATTATTGTTTTCTAAGCTTAAAAAAGTGATATTAAAAGTCTTCCTCAACTAAAGTTAAAATTTCTGTTTTAAAGTCCTTTTTAGTTAATTTCTTAACGTAATTTCTTCTATTTTACCCGAAGGTAGTGAAAAACGCACGCCGATCGAAAACGTTAGGAGATAATAGCGAAAGACTTTGGGGCGTGGTTGGAGGGTGCGAAAGGTGGACAATTATCGCACAGGGAACTTCCGAAAGTGGACAAAAGTCCCTGCGGGAGTTCGCGGTACGAAAGGAGCTTGATTTTATCGGCCCTTTAGAGTCCCCTAACCGAGGTTCGTGTACCACTTATAATAACGACTTATGATTTCCCTAACGAGAGGCAATAAAAAGAACGCGGATATAATTGCGGGGATATGCGCGATTTTTTTCGAGCTTACGGAGCGTGCGAATTGATGGGTTTCCGAGCTGGGCGGTATATAAAACTGGACGCAAAACCCTAGATAAGGTGCAGACACTGCCCAGTCCCTTAGCGGTCATTTATTCCGTTTAAAGGATAATCTGGATAATAGACGCCGGTTATCTCCGGCTCACTGACCGCTTGCTCCCTTGCCTTGTATATTATATTGCCCACGTCGATACCTTCGCATTAAAGTTCCACCCCCTCCTCACGATTTTTATCCTACCGGGATTGCGTTTTATTAAGAGAGGAAACCTTAGATTATCCCGATTTGCTTTATCTATCGGAAATACAAATAAGGGATTTAGCTTTTTTCTTTTTTTTTCGGGGAGAACGCTAACGTTCTTTTGGGGTGAAAGTAAACTACGAAACAAAAAAGTTAACATAAAAATAAAAAAGTTTCACAAAAAGGAGTCTTTTAGTATCCGACATATAAAAAAATGTGATAATTTAGTTAAACCTCGCGAGGTGTCAGACGCTATCGGTCTCCCCCCATTATTCGAGGGCAAGTAAGGGTGTCCTGCAGGAAAGTGCCGCCATTTTTCAAAACAGGACACAATACTGGACGGACTTGATTATCGGGACTTTTCTCTATTCAGCCGGGACGCGGAATAAGTAGTGGAGCTATCGGGCGAACTAAGCTGTTATTTACAATTTCAAATGGAAGGACCGGTCAACGAAAGGGGGCGACGAATTGGGGTTCTGCCAAATGCACCTAACGATTGCCCACACCCTTGTATCGGCTCTTTTTTTCTATAATTCATCTACCCCATCTCGCCTCCGTCTCCATTTGTCAACCGGGTAATGTTATTATCACCCGGACCTCGATCGATTAGCGGAAGGGTTAAGGAGGTCCTGGCCTGGAGGCAGCTCTGGTTTTCCGAGGACTCGGCTCATTTGTTTGTAGTGAATAATATATACACCCCCGCGAACGGTTCTTGCGAGGCACAATGCCAACTATGGATGCTGCTAATTTAAATTTAAACGCCAAGTTTAGCACTAATCGTCCTATCAGTCTCCTTGCCTTTTCCGGCAAACAAACCAGCTTTGAATTATTTAATAACGTTTACTTAATCGAAACCCGACTCGATCTTCTTTAAACACAAGTAAACACTTCCTGTTATCTATTAAAAGATAAATAAAAAAATCATATTGATCTCCGGGTGATAATTATTGATTTTTAAGTATAAGAAAGCTATGCTAAAAGTTTTGCCTTCCTAAGTGAAAATTTGATATTTTCTGGTTTATTTTCTTTAGCTTGGCAGCTATAAAAGTTAAAAGTTTTGATTCCCCAGCTAATAATAATTATTTCCTAACCATACTGAAGTGTTATGCAAAGTCTTCCTTTCCTATTTCAAAATTTCATATTTTTTCATAATTTCATATATTATCTATAAATATCAAAATTTTTGAGTTTTCTTTTGTTGTTTTCTTTATTGTTTTTGAGTAAAAAATGTAACATTAAAAGTGTTCTTCTAGTTGGAGAATTAATGTTTTTGGTCGGTTTTGAATAATTTAAATCCGTCGCGACAAGCTCTATCGAGCCGAGCCGGGAGGAGAATATTTCGTACGCAATTTAAAGTAGCAGATAAAACCGTTCCACCCTTAGGTGCGGCGAAATGCTCCTTGCATTCTAATTTGTATAATTCTGGTCTCCTGATTCGAATATCGGATTGAAGATATCGTCCCGGAGTTGGGTGGTGGTGCGGACCTCATTTTTTACTCTTCAAGTATTTACCGCGAGGTCTTATCTTGGGACCATAAATATTCGTCAAATTTAGTATACGTCTCAACAAATTTGAAAGTCGTAAGGCATATAATTAGCAGGTCCCGCAGGTCCTTTGGACCGTAATTGCTTACAGCGCGAACTTACTATGAATGCAAATGAATGCTTTCCTTTTTTGCCTCTAATTTATGTTTCTCGGTTTAATCTGTTTCCAAACTCTGGAAGGCAGCAAAATCAATTCCGCAACGTTTCGTTTCTAACGCATTTATCTTCCTCTAACACTTAAATCTTAAATTCTATTAAAGTTGCAATTAACTTTTTTAATGCACTAAAGAATTTTTCAACTAATATACGAGTGAAAAAGCGATAGAGAAAATGATCAAGAGTAGTAAGAGGTTACATTACGAAGAAAGATTTGTATTTCTTGTTTTAATCTGTTTCGTGCCCTCGAGATAAGAAAATCAATCCCAAGAGAACTTTTGTTATTATTTCATTTGTCTCCCAAGAAAATTATATCGGCAAAAGTAAACAAAATTACTGAGGCCCCTTTGTTTTTTTATTATTAATTGCACTAATTAATTCAAGTGAGAGAAGTCAACGCAAAAGGGTTGATCGATAAAACCGAAGTTTCCGCACCCCCGATAACTTGCTCGACCGCCAGGAAACTTCTCTGATTTTTCATTCTTCGCCGCCGAAATCGAATTACCGGCCTGTATCGATGCGAAAAACAGCGTCCCCCTACCATCAACCGCCGAGCTCCGACCCAAATTAGGGGATGATGGTATGATTATGACATTTTTTATGCCGAAATAAGCTAGCTTTCTTTTAGAAATATGGCTCACGCCGCATGAATTTTGATGACGCAACGTTTTTACCTGCTCCCCTTCGATCTAACCGCCAAAAAATGCAAACGATCTGTTTATAATTTATAATAAAAATAAAGATTTACTTTATTTTTATTAAACCCATCCAATTTTTAACCCTCATCCCATAAATTTTTTAATCAACTTATAATATATACATGTATACAAAAATTTTTCTCGGCGATAATTATTTTCTTTTATGCATAAGAAAATTATATTAAAAGTCTTCTTATGCTAAATCAAAATTTGATATTTTCTGATTTTCTTTTGTATTAGCCAAGCATCAAAAAAAATTAAATCTTTTCTGGGCGATAATTATGCTCTTTTATGCATAAGAAAATTATGTTAAAAGTTTTCTTATCCCAAGTCAAAATTTGATATTTTCAAATTTCTTGTTGGATTACCCAAGTATTAAAATAAAAATTAAATCTTTTCTTGGTGATAATTATGTTCTTTTATGCATAAGAAAATGATGTTAAAAGTTTTCTTATCCTAAGTCAAAATTTGATATTTTCTGAATAATTTTTCTGTTTTCTAAAAGTTAAAATTGAAATTTTTGATTTTCTTGGTAATAATAATTGTTTCTTAAGCTTAAAAAAGCAAGATTGAAAGTCTTCCTCTCCTAAGTGAAAAATTAGTTTCATTTAGATGTTTCAATCGCCAAGAATACATTAAAATTTAAAGATAATTTAGTAAAATGAAAAATTGTTTAAGAAAGTTGAAAAAAAAGGAAGGTATTGATTTAGGGATGAGAAAAAAGTCAAAATTAAGCACGGATTTTTCACGTTCCAAGTAAAAATAGGGTGAACAGGTGAGGTTGAGTGTAGTTTAGAAAAATCCACATATGGAGTGGAAAAAAGTTACCGTGCAAGTTTGATTGTTTCCGGAAGGCAAAGGGGAGGCGGTGGCGGTAGCGGCGTCGAACGGGGGTGAGCTGCGACGGGGCGGGAGGCATCCGGGAGGCAACCGGGCGCGGAGAGAAGTCTGCATAAATCAAGTTTAGAGACGTAGAATGGCGAGCAGGATATTTTATTTGTTTTATTGTGTCCTGCATATCGGGGCTTAGGTTTAGCTCTGCCTCGGCTTGGCGGACGGTAGGTGGTGGGTGGCGGGTACAGGAGCGCCCATAATGTACGGGGAGTGCGGGGGGCCGGTAGGAAGGCGTTCACTGCGCCATCTACGTCAAGATGCGGCGTCGGTCCGTTTTATTTTGTTATTTTCTAGTCAAGAAATAGAATAAAACGTGCGGCGGTGGCAGTCTGAGTGGGCAGAGCTTCGTCCGTGATTGGGTATCCCCCGGAGCTCCTAGCTCCAACCAGGTGGCGACTGCGCGATCTCGAACCACGCCTTCCACAGCCACGGTTTATGGTCAATTCTCACACAGAACGTAGGATCCTCGGGAGCCATCAAGCTCTCCTCCAAAAATCACCTCGAAACTCTAAAATGTAGACGATCGCGACAAGTCCGTGATAAAACGTCCGCGAATTTTACATACCCGACCTCGCTCTTGTTTGCGAGGGTGCGACCCCAATAGGCTCGACTTCGGCCGGCGAAGGGTAGCCTGTCTCCCCACACTTGAAATTACCGGTTGTATAC